TCTTATGGAGCGAAAAATACGGTAATATCTTGCTCGCATTGTATAATTTTACAGAGTTTTGTGTCATCTGCAAACACTGAAACATGACTTTCAATACTGTCTTCAAGATCATTTATAAACATGTTAAATAGAAGGGGTCCCAGAACAGACTCCTGAGGGACACCACTTGCCACCTGTGTCCAGCTTGAAAATTTACCATTAATGACAACTCTTTGTACTCTGGTTTTAAGCCAATGTTCTACCCAAGAACAAGCATTTTCATCTAGACCGATTTCCATGAGTTTGAACACTAATCTATTGTGTGGAACTGTATCAAATGCCTTGGCAAAATCCAAATAGATCACATCCACTGCAGCACCCTGATCTATACTTCTGCTTACTTCTTCATAGAACGCAATCAAGTTAGTTTGACATGACCTGTGCTTCATAAAACCATGCTGATTTTTTCTGATAACCATGTTCTTCTCAAGGAATTCTTGAATATTATCCCTTAATAACCTTTCAAATATTTTCCCAGCCACAGAAGTTAAGCTCACAGGTCTATAATTTCCAGGCAAGGATTTTGAACCCTTTTTGAATATAGGAACCACATCTGCCTTCCTCCAATCCTCCGGAACACTTTCTGAAAGAAAAGAATCATGAAAGATTAAAAACAGAGGTTCACTTATTTCTACACTTAGTTCCTTAAGTACTCGTGGATGGATACCGTCAGGCCCTGGAGCTTTGTTTATATTAACTTTCTTTAGTTGCTGCAGCACTTTGTCTTCAGTTAAAAAAAATACAATTATTCTGCAAGTTTTTAGTAGCAATCATTTGCACATCTATTGCCAAGGGTTCTTCCTTCATATACGGAGGAGAAATAGTTATTTAAAATTCCTGCCTTTTCCTGGTCTTCATTAACTAACACCCCCGTTTCAGTTTTTAGTGTACTTACACTTTCATTTTTGTTTTTTTTAGAATTTATGTACTTAAAAAATGCTTTGGGGTTGGTTTTGCTCTCTTTAGCTATCATTTTTTCATTTTAAAGTTTAGCAAATCTAATTGCCTTTTTGCACGCATTATTTGCTTCCTTACATCTTTTATAAGATGCATCTGATTTGTCCGATTTAAATGCTTTAAATGCCCTTTTCTTATTTTTAAGCTCTTGTTTTACTTCTCTACTAAGTCACATTGTTTTTAATTTGTTTCTTTTATATTTATTTCCCAATGGTACATACTTAGAAATGTACCTTTCTAATATTTGTTGGAAGATGATCCATTTATCCTTTATTTACACATAAGAAGGATTTAGAAATTGTTATAACAAACTAGGCAATAATGTGCAACGTCAATCAGTCATTTCGAAGTCTGGTAAAGTATTGAAATGCATAACAAGACCTCACATTGGATATGCTGTGCAATTTTAGACACCTTTCCTAAAAAAGGATATTTTGGCACTAGAAAAAGTAGAGAGGTGGGCTACAAAATTATTAAAAGGAATGGAAGATTTTGTCACTAAAAGTGAACAAATTTAAATCTGTTTAGTTTAGAAAAATGGCAATTCAGAGTGGATATGATAGCAATATACAAATATATTTAGGACCACTACAAACCTTTGCTTGGAAATCTATTCATAAACAGGACAATGCATGGTATACAAGGTTACCATTTAGAATGGAAGAAAGGACATTTAGAAACATAGAAACATAGAATGTGACGGCAGTTAAGAACCATTCAGCCCATCTAGACTGCCCAATTTTTAAAAAAATACTTTCATAAGTCCCTGGCCCCTGGCCTTATCCTATAATTTTTTTAAAAAATTCTGTATTTTTGTCATTTTTCTTTTGCGTTTGGTTTTAGGGTACAGAATGAAGAGAGGGTAGGGGGATACAATGTTTCCTTGTCATATATACATTGCAAGCTTGTTCTGTTTTGAGATATCCTGTTTGACAATTCGTTGTTTGGGTAGGTGAGGGTAGGTTAGTCGTCATTGTGCTGCTATGGCGTGCTTGGAGGACCGGAACGTCCCGTCAGTCTAGTGAGTGGTTAGGTTTGTGCTGTCTAAGTCTTTGGTTCCTCGGCCCTTCAGGCCGGGTTTCAGGGTTTTCTGTGGGTAGGGTATCTGTTTCTGGCTATTGGTTTTCACTGGTGCTGGTATTTCTGAGGGCCCTACGTTTTCTATCTGTTAGTCTTTTTGTTGGTGGCTCGGTTTTATCCCTGAGCTTTGGTGGGGTTTCCTCGACTCTCAAGACGTTCCGGGGGTCTTTTGGTTCCCTTGTCTGTGTCTGCTACTGTAGGTGACTGTTGGGATTTGTTATGTAGGTAGAAGTTTGTCGTGATAGTTGTAGCCTCCCTGAGTAGTGTCCATTAGTGGGGAAAGAGGGAGGTGGGATAGTGGCACGAAAAGCCAGGATGTTTCTGGATCCGGGTGAGGTAGGGGTGCATCGACCGGTCCCCCCATCCCCTCCCCAGCCCGGGTTTGCAGGTCTTGATTTGGTTTGCCGTGGGTGCTAAGAGTGTATCTTAGCATGGGTATGTCTCTGTAGGAACAGTTTTATGAGGTATTAGGTCTTTTGTGGTGTATTTCTTGATAGTTTTACCAGGGTAGTGTAGTGTCTCCGTTTAGCCAGGGGTCCCAGAGCTTGTGGTATTGTGTGGTTGTTTCGTGTATTTGGGCTGTGAGGCTGTCCATGTTTGCGCTGTCCTGTATCTTGTGTGTGATGGCAACTTGCGATGGGATGTGTGGTGTGGCCCACTGTTCAGCGATCGCTCTGCGAGCTGCGAGTGTTATTCTTGCTATTAGTTTGTTTTCTCTTCTTGTGTAGGTGTCACTAGGTTTGGATAGTAATAGTAGCCAGGGATCCATGGGGCATGGTCTGTCGAATAGTCTAGTGATCAGGGTTGTGATACTTTGCCAGAGCGGTTTCAGTTTAGGACAGGACCACCAACAGTGAAGGAAGGTGCCTATTTCTCCGCAACCTTTCCAACAGAGGGTTGGGGTTAGTTGCTCACATGGCGGCTAGTCTTTGTGGTGTCAAGTACCACCGGAACAGCATTTTATATGCTTGTTCCTTGTGGGTGACGCATATTGAGGTGGTGGCTATGGCTTCCCATATATCTGACCACTCTGTGGGGTCTTCCAGTGTGCCTAGATCCTTTTCCCATGCCCTGATGTAGGAGAGCTTCACCTGGGTTGGGTGTGTTGCTATAGTGGTGTAGAGGTCTGAGATTTGGCCCCTTCTCGCTGGGTGGTCCATACTATCTCGTTCAAATCGTGTTAGAGGGGCTGTGCCTGCCTGTTTGATGACGGGTGTGGCAGCGAAACTTCTGAGTTGCAGGTATCTAAAGTGATCAAATGTAGTGAGTGTGTCCTTGTCTGGTAAATCGTTGTAGGCGATGATAGCATCTGCCGCGTATAGGTGTTGCAATCTACATATATTCCTATTGTCAAAGCTTGTGAAGTGTGCTGGGGTTAGACCTGGTGGGAATAGTTTGTTTCTCCATATGAGGGAGATCGGGGATAGATAGGAGGACAGGTCGTATTTGTCTTTTGCTTTGTCCCATAGATCTAGGGAGTGTGTTATCGCGGGGGATGTGGGTGGTGGTAGTGGTCTTTGTGTTTTGGGTAGCCACATATATAGGGACGGGTGGTTCCAGCCAAATATCAGGTGCTCTAGGTCTACCCATCGTTTTTTACCCGGTGGGAGATGCCACTGTTGTATTTGGGCCAGACGTGTTGCTGTCAGATAATGTGTGAAGTTTGGGAGTCCTAGGCCTCCCGCTCGTCTGGGGACGTAAAGCGTGTATTTTTGCACCCGTGGCTTTCGGCCGTTCCAAACAAAGGAGTCCACTTCCTTTTGGAGTGTTTTAAGATCCTGTTTGTGGACAGGGATGGGCAGGGTTTGGAACAAGTAAAGGAATCTGGGCAGGAGATTCATTTTAATTGAGGTTACCCTGCCCAGCCATGATATCCCTAGTGGTTGCCATCTTCTCAGGTCCTCGCGGGCCTGGTGAAGTATGGGTTTGTAGTTTGCCTCGTATAGGCGTGTCAAGTCACTTGTAAGTTGGATTCCCAGGTATGTGATGGAATCGTGGCAGGTGCGTGCTGGGAATAGGTTTTGGATGTGTTGCAATCTTGCCTCGGTGATATTTAGTGGTAGTAGTTCCGACTTTGCGATGTTGAGTCTATAGCCACTCAGTGTGGAGTATGTTTGTATTAAGGTCAGTAGGGCCGCTATTGATGTTTCGGGGTCGGTGAGCGTTAGCAGGACGTCGTCCGCGTACGCTGCTACTTTGAAGACTTCTCCCCTTATTTGTAGTCCTTTTATGTCTGGGTCGGTGCGTATTGCTTGCATCAGGGGTTCCAGCGAGATCGCAAATAGTATGGGTGAGAGAGGGCATCCCTGTCTTGTTCCGTTCGCAATAGTGAAGCGTGGTGGGTTGATGTTAGGGAGTATGAGGGCACCTTGTGGTGTGTGGTACATAGCTTTCAAGAAGGTAATGAAGTTATGTGGGAAGTTGTATCTTTCAAGGGTGTAATAGAGGTATGGCCAGAGAAGGCGATCGAACGCCTTCTCGGCGTCAAGTGAAATGACACTCAGTGGGATCTGTCTGTGTTGTGCTACCCAGATCAGGTCTACGGCTCTGCGAGTGTTATCTAAGGCTTGTCTATTGGGGATGAACCCCACCTGATCTGGGTGTATTATCTGTTCTAAGAAGGGGTTCAATCTGTTGGCCATTACTTTGGTAAGGATTTTGAGGTCCACATTAAGGAGAGAAATCGGTCTGAAGTGTTCGGGTTGTGTATGGTCTTTGTTAGGTTTCGGTATTAAGCAAATGTGTGCCGTTGTCATGTCGGTTGGTAGTGTCTCTCCCCGTAGGAGGGCGTTGAAGACCCGTGTGAGGTGCGGTAGTAGGAGGTGGCTGTATTCTTTATAATATATGGCTGTATAACCGTCTGGGCCTGGGCTTTTGTTGGGTTTGGAGGATTTAAGTGCTGTTGCTAGTTCGTCTGCCATGACCTCTCCCGCTAGTGTGGCTCGGGCGGTCTCGGTCAAGGTGGGGAGGTTCAGTTTGTCGACGAAGTCGGTCATGGCCGTTTCGTCTGTATGCTCTGTTCCCTTCGGTGTAGGGGAATGGTTGTAAAGGGCCGCAAAATAGCTGTGGAATGTTTCTCCTATTCTGTCTGGGTTGTTGCTCAATTGTCCTGCTTGGGTCCGTATTTTGTGTATTTGTTTAGCTTCTATTCTGCGTTTCAGGCGGCGAGCTAGCATTGCGTCTGCTTTGTTACTTTTTTCATAGTATGTTTGCTTAAGCCACATCATGGCTTTTGCCGTATCCGCTTGTGTAAGTTGTTTCACTTGTCGCCGTATGTCTGTCAGTTGGGCTAGAGTGGACTGCAGCGGGCGTTGTTTGTGTTCTGTTTCTAAGCGTCGGAGGTCCGCTAGGGCATTTAAGAGGTTTTGTTGTCTTTGTCTTTTTTTAGCCGATGCTAGGCTAATCAGGTGTCCCCTGATGACTGTTTTGTGGGCTGCCCATATGGAGATTGGTGAGATGTCTGTTGTCGAGTTTAGTTCAAAATAGTCTGTGAGGTGTTTTGAGATTTCTGTTTTGAGTGCTGTGTCGTGTAAGAGGAGTGGGTTGAGCTTCCACGTCCAGTGCTTTTTGAGGTGGGGTATGTTTAAGGTGAGTGTGATGTCAGCATGGTCTGACCATGCTATCGTTTCTATAGTGGTATTTGTTATGTGGGAGAGTAGTCCTGGTGAAATTAGAAATTGGTCCATGCGTGAATACGAAGCATGTGGGTGTGAGTAGAAGGTAAAGTCCTTCTCGGTTGGGTGCTGGGCTCTCCAGATATCTATTAATGGTTGGGTAGCTAGGAAGTTGGCAAAGAGGGTGTCATTTCTATTCGGTTGTGTTCTGGTTTGGTGTTGTCGATCAACTGCCAGGGTGTGGACTGCATTGCAGTCCCCCCCGATGATTATCGGTACGTTGGTGTACGCCCGTAGGTGTGTCGAGTATAAAGGCCAGAAATTAGGGTCTGACGTGGTCGGGGCATATATGTTACTAAATGCGTATTGATTGGTCCCTATGTAGCCGTTATAGTGAGAAAGCGGCCTTGGGGGTCTGCGGTGCTGTGTATGCCTGTTATCGGGTAAGATGAGCGTATGAGAATGGCCACCCCTTTTGTTTTTGTGTTTGGCAAGCTTGCGAGATAGCTTCGGTTGTAGTATCTATTGGTTAGGGTGAATGTTCTCTGGGTAGTGAAGTGGGTCTCTTGCACAAAAAGTATATCTGTTTTGAGCTTGTAGGCCCATCTCAGAAGACTGTGCCGTTTGGAGGGGGAGTTGAGTCCCTGTGCATTAATCGACACACATTTGATTGTGACAGGCATTGTTGGATTTGTGCTTCAATGTCTGGACCTCTAGTTAGATATGTAGCGTGTTTGTGGTGTTCGGGTAATGGGTCCCCCGCGTCCGGGGTGTGGGGGTCCCTGGGGGCCCGGCCGATGCAGGGAGAGTGACAAAGGATGGTCTACTGGTCTTATCCTTGGGGCCAGTAAGAGTTGGGGTTAGTCGTCCGGCAGCTCCTCGATTGCCGGGTCGTGAGTTGTAGTAAGAGTGTGTAGTGGGTCGTGACAGTCTGTCAGAGTCTCGCTAGCAGGCTGTGATAGTGGTGTGGTATGCGCACTCTCAAGTCCGTGTTCTATGGTTTCTGTGTGCACAAGCGTTTAACAGCAAACATTAAACATTAAACAAGAAACATTTTGCTCAGTCCCTGTTGGTGTACCATTAACCCCCCGCCCCCCGCTCCCACCGCCCCCCCCCCCTCACCCCCTCAGCTGGTTATTCCCGTATCTCCAGTGTCCCTGGTTGTCTGGGTACAGCATATCAATTTGCTATGAAACACAATCCTGCCCTGGATCTACCGGGGCGCCCAGCCCTCAGATGCATGCGGTGTGGCTCTGTGGTGTAGGTAGAGTGCTGGGGTTCATGTGTTCCCGGCCGGGGAAGTCAGTCCCGGTCCCCAATTAGATTTGTCCTTGGTGTGGCTAGATGTCAGAGGGCCCCATTCCTCCCTCGGGGGGGGTGGGGGGGAGTGTATTAAGTTAAAGTGTGGGGTTTCCTCTTTGGATAGTGGTCTATGTTTCTGGCTGGGTGGGGTCCCCTGTATACTTGCTATCTCCTGGCTCGCCTCTGTCTCTGGTTGTGCTGTCTGATAGCCTAGAGTCTTTCCTTATGCGTGAAGAGGCGCCTCTGTTCTATGAACCAGACGTTGTGCAGGTGGCCAGCTGACGAGGGTGGGCTGTCGTTGCCTTCTAGGTAGCTGGGCGGAGAGGGTCAGGTCGTGAGAGGGTGGCTGGTGGCAGGTGTGTCTGCATGGCCAGAGCTAGTCTCTATATTCTGTGGGTCCTCCCGGCCCCCTGTATCTATTTGGAGGTGCTCTGCTCTGTGACTGGTGGAGTCCGTGGTCCAGACCTGAGATCCCGAGTTGTTCTGCGAAGTCTGTCATTTCTGACGGGTGGTGGAGGGTAAACGTCTGGTTGTCCTTACGTACCAGAAGTTTGAACGGGTGGCCCCAGGCATATCTAATTCGTTGCTGCGTTAATGCTTGGGTCAGGGGCCGCAGTTCCCTCCGTTTGCGCAAGGTGCTTGGGGCCAGGTCCTGGAAGAATTGGACTTGGTGGCCTTCAATTTGGAGCGGTGTGTCCCGTGTTGCTCTCATAATGGCTTCTTTGACATGAAAGTAGTGCATGCGCACTATTACATCTCTAGGTAGAGTACTGCTTAGGGCTGGTGCTCTCAGGGCTCTATGTGCTCTGTCCATGAGTAACTCTGCCGGAGGTGCTTCAGGTAAGAGGCCGCATAAGGTTTCTCGTAATGTGGCCGTTAGGGTTTCCATGGTGACCGATTCAGGGATCCCCCTTATTCTGATATTGTTTCTCCTCGAGCGATTGTTCAAATCCTCTTGTGCTTCTTCAAGGGCTTTGACTTGCTCTTTTAATTCTAGAATAGTTTGTGCTTGCGTGGTAGAGGTTGAAGTGACTTGCTCCATTCTGTCTTCTATATCTGAGGTTCGTTTAGTCAGGTCTGCCATTTCTTCTTTCAGTGGGGCTAGGTGCTTTGCAAATTCTGCTGCTATGTTGCACTTGATGTCCTGGAGGAGGCTTTGCAGGTCCCTTTTAGTGAGGGGACCCTGGTCTTGTGTGTGGCTGTGCTCGCTGAGCTCTGACTCTGATTCAGAGTCCTGACCGCCGTTGCCGCCATTACCACGTGGGCGGTCTTGTTCCCCGCGGCTTCGGAAGATCGGGGCGACAGCCGTGTTAGACTTGGATTTCCTGCCTCCCCCCACGGTGAGCTGCGCTGCCGGAGCTTGGTGCCTTATGTCCTGGGACTTGGTGAGAGTGTGCGATCGCTGTATTTTGCTATTGTGTGCCTGCTTCCCGCGGAGCTCTAAGCCTGTGCGGCCATCTTCCTCGGAAGCCAGGCGCCGCCCCCCCTTATCCTATAATTTAAGACTATGTCCTCTTGTTGTGGTAGTTATTCTTCTTTTAAATATAGTCTCCTCCTTTACTGTGTTCCTGATTCACTTTATGTATTTAAATGTTTCTATCATATCCCCCTGTCTCGTCTTTCCACAGGGGGGATATGACTCAGATTTAGTCCATTTAGTCCAAGGCAAAGGAAAGGGCTTTTTTTTACAGTACAATAAGGATGTGGAATTATCTGCATGAATAGGTGGTTTTATCTGAGTCTGTAAAAATGTTTAAACAGCAACAGGATAAATATTTGCAAAAAATGTAATATTCAGTGATATCATTTTTAATATGTGGGGTAATATCTTATTGATCTATGGAGAGATCTGATTTTCTGGATTAAAGAAGGATCTTTTTTCCTATTATGTTGCAGATGTGGAAGGTGCTACAAACTAGGGGTTTTGCCTACTTTTGGATCAACAGCAAAACTGATGAGAAAAAGTCTCAACTTGATGCACGTAAGTCTTTTTTCTTTCAGCCTATATAACTATGTAATTTTGCTTTATAATCCACACTTTTCTGATGGTTCTCCAAGCCTGCAGTGTTTCCACTTCTGTTAGAGATAATAGTATCTCGTTTTTTTTAAAGATTTTTATTGGTCTATGTTTCCCCAAACTCAGGCCCTCCAGGTGTTGCTGAACTACAACTCCCATGATTCTCACCCTATCTATTTCATTCGTAGAATTATGGGAGTTGTAGTTCAGCAACATCTGGAGAGCCCCCCAATTCTGCTCTCACCTTCTGCTGTGCACGGATGTGTCATATACAGGAAGTGGCTGAACCAAACATAATGCTCACTTAACTGCTGTAGAATATTGAGTATTGTGATTGGCACTTACTGATCTGGGAACATCCCACTGAAGTATCTACTAAGCTACAAAACCTGGGGGGTTGCATAGAATTTGGTTACTTCAAAATATTTTGCATACATTTTATTACATTTTTTTTCAATATAATGCATTCAAATAATATATTGGGTCACATTAGACCGTCCCCATAGGAAAGCATTGATTCAATGCTCCCCCATGGGGGTTTTCAACACAGAGGATGTCCTTATACAAAGCTTGAAGATGTCCAGCATTTATTGACGGTATCAGGTCTTACCTTAAACCTCACTCCCTCGTCATCACTTCTGGGTATCACAGTTTTGAATCTCCTCCCACATCTATGATGATACTATAGGTACTTCAGCTACTGCAACAGAGTGATGATTTGTTTAAAAAAAACCTGTGATTTTTCAATATTCGTTATGTTCTACCAACAGTTTTCTATTGCCATTTATACATTTGACACTATGTCTAATAAGACTAAAATTTGTCAAATCATTATAAAGAAGTCCAAAACAGATTACCAAATAGCTAACCAAAGCAATAAGCAAATAACTCTTAGATTTTAATGTATTCATAATAAATAAAGATAAGTAGGCAGAGCAATCCCAGTCAAAATTGATTTTTTTTTTGTTCTATAAAACATCTCAAAAGATTTGTTATTGATCAATATATCTATGTTACAGAATGTGTTGATTCTATATAAATCAATTATTCCCACAAATAAAATGAAAATTACAGGTTTATTTGTTAAAGTGAGAATCCAAAGTGAATTTCAAATTTAAGACCAGAGTAGATGAATTGGAAGCATTGGTTAGGTTGGCTATTTTGATCTTCAGTTTGAAACTTACTTTGAATTCTTACTTTAGAAAATAACCAGATTCTAGATTCAATAGTTTTATTTTTTTAATGCTGTAGATATATATATATATATATATATATATATATATTTGTGTTAAGGGCTCATGATAGTACAGAAGATACCAACACTGATAAGCATGGGATAGTGTGAAAGAGCAAGTCGGTTGTGGTGTGCCGGAACCGACGATGAGGTAGGCCTGTAAATAAAGAGGGCCCACCAATAAGAAATGTATGAGAAAAAGGAGTTAATAAAAGAGGAGTGGGTGGGAGGGTGATGCAGCGCTGACCTCGAACGGTATGGAGCCAGGTAAGGGGTGTCCCTTAAGTAGGGAGAAGGTGAGTCATACGCCCCTCCCACAATTACAGGCCAAAGGCCTTAATACTTGTGTTAAGGGCTCATGATAGTACAGAAGATACCAACACTGATAAGTATGGGATAGTGTGAAAGAGCAAGTCGGTTGTGGTGTGCCGGAACCGACGATGAGGTAGGCCTGTAAATAAAGAGGGCAAAAAGTAGAAAATATACTTTATTACGAAACGAGCAGTATACATACTTCAACCAGACATATCTTGAAAGGCATTTCTAACTTCTTGTACCGGGTTAGGTATGTATCTAGAGTATGCAGAAGACTTCCAGCGCCCTAGTGACTTGATAACATGTACTGGAATGTTTGCACTGGACGCTGTGGAGGCCGCCCCTATGCGGAAGGAGTGGCCCGAATAGTTAGCTGATTTTAGGCCTAGTTGTGTAAGTAGGGACCTGACGTGGGTCATGAAGGTGGTGGTAGTGAGTACCGAACCTTGTAGACAGAAAAGTGGTTGAGATGGTGATGCCTTGAAATGCTGAGTATAGTTGTCCAGTAATGTGACGGGGCACCACACGTTGTGGGTAGGATAGTATCTAACCTCTACCGGGGGTGCGTGTTGATTGGTTTTGGAGTGATGCAGAGTTAAAATATAGTAATCCATGTGTTTCGTTAAGTGTGAATGAAGCAGAATGTGAGTGGACTTTGATGTGTTGATGGCGGTAAATTCTCTTGGTCTCAAGAAACCATAAAAAGCTACGTATATGGCGGTTTTTATAACCAGGTTTGTGTTGTTCGCAAAGGGTTTTGAATCTAGTAGGCTGGATAAATCCTTGAAGATATTGAAGTCTATAGGTAGCCTTTGCGCGGTACGTGGGGGTTCGGATCTCTGGATACCTCTAAGGATGTTTTTATCTGGTAGGAGGACATGAAACTTGTGTTGTTTGGTTGTAATGTTAGCATGTGATGTTGTATGCCTGTTAGATATAGCTTGATTGTGTTGTAAGATAATTTAAGTTTAAGGTGGCAAAAAGAAGCAAAACCTAACAAAGATGTCATGATGAAAGGTTGTGTGACGTTGTGTAGTGACAGGAATCTTTTAAATAGAAGGAAAGCCCTGTCATATGTTCTCCGGGTATTGGTGGACAGTGCTAATTGTGCCAATGTCCTGCTATGTTGCATAATAGCTTCTAGTCCATGACTAGCTGGTGGAAAGGTGGAGTGGTCGTGGCTGTACGTGCGGCTGACGGAAGTATTTGCCGAAAAGCCTGAAAATTGAAACTAGACAAATTGTCAGCAGCCGTGTTACAAACACCTGGGACATGGACACAAAACAAGAAGAAGTTATGGCATGCAGCCAGCCAGGTGAGTTTCCTCAAGAACCTCATAATGGTCAGTGACTTGGATCGGCCTTTGTTTATGATGTGGCAGGTAGCTTGGTTGTCTGAGTGGCAACGTACTGACGAACCTGCCCATAGATGCCCCCATGTCACGGCAGCTGCTACAATGGGATACATCTCAAATAGAGCTGAGGTAGTGGAAAACCCTTCCAGGTCCTGTACCTCTGGAGGCCAGCTACCCCAAAGCCATTCATTCCCGTAAATTGCTGCAAAACCTGTGGTAGCCGCCGCGTCTGACCAGATGGTAGGTGAGGAGTCAGACAATTTAGGGAGAAACATGCTTTTCCCATTCCAGGTGGTCAAAAAGTTTCTCCACATAAGTAGGTCTGCCGTGGCTTGGGTATCCAGTGGTAACCTGTGTGCATCATGTCTAAACAGTGGGAACATGGTTAGGAGCCGTGAGATGAAAGCTCGGCCTTGAGGTATAATGCGCATGGCAAAGTTCAGTGACCCAAGTAGAGACTGCAATTCTTTGCGATTGCAAGTACCGAGGTGTATGTAGAGGTTAATGTTGGTGAGAATGTTCTCTATCTTGGTGAGTGGCAGGCTGGCTTGCATGGTGGCTGAGTCTAGTATGATTCCCAGAAAGGTGATGACTGTATCTGGTCCTTCAGTTTTGGTGGGGGAGACTGGAACACCCACCTGTTTAAAAAGACTGATGGTTTCTATGAGGCTACTGGGAGGGGAAGTGTTCTCTTCGATCAGTAAGAAATCATCCAGGTAGTGTATAACTGTAGGGCATCTGGCTACATTTAATAATAACCAGCATAATGTTTCGGCGAATACGTCGAAAATGGCCGGACTACTTTTTGAACCAAACGTTAGGCGTGAGAAAAAGTAGTAGTGCCCGGCCCACTTAATGCCATGCAGGTGCCATAGTGTAGGGTGGATAGGCAATAATTTGAAGGCATTTGTAATGTCAGTCTTGCTGAGCCATGCTCCGACCCCTGCCTGCATGATAGCTGTAATGGCGTGATCTATGGTGGAGTATTGAAGTGAAAATTCCTCAGAGGGGATAAGGGAGTTCAGACTAGGTGAGGCAGAGGTGTGAGGTGCAGACAGATCGATGATAAGTCTTTGTTTGTGGGAAGATTTCCCTGTGACAATACCGATGGGGTTTGTCCGCCATGTGGAAAAAGGAGAGGACTGGAAGGGTCCCAATAGGAAGCCCTCTGCCACTTCTTTGGCTATGAGTGTGCTGACCGCTGTAGGGTTTTGTTGTGCAGATTGTAAATTAGGACATTCAAGGATTCCTGAAGGCATGTGTATGAGACCAGTATGGAATCCTTGTGATAGACCAGTGATGATGAAGTCTACCAAATGTCTAGATGGATGTTGTGACAGTAATGCCGTGGGTACAGAAATATTTATCTCAGTTAAGTATTGCTTAGGGTACATTTTATTTGGACACATGGTTTTCGCATGTGCCCTAAAACATTTTGAACATATATGCAATAACCGACAACCGCTGTAATTACATGCACCGACATTGAAATTATTACATATTTGGGACTTCCCCAAAAACTTGATAGGTCGACCCAGTTTGTCTTTGGGTGTTCTCTCTGCTGACACAGCGGAGCTAGTGCCCTGCGAGGTGGTAGGTTCGTTCGCAGTGGTCGGACAAAAATTGGCAGTATGAGCCATGGAGGAGCAGTGTGCACAGGCCGGTGCTCTTAGACCTGCAAAGTGCCTGCAAAAAATGATTGTATCAATCTTACTCCAGTTGGACCTTGTCCCGTACTGTGAGAAGGCGCCAGACACTTTGGCAGAAAAAGATCTATGGTAGTCATAGAAAGCTGACCCACCATATTTGTTGCCCAGATCAACCAGCCTGTGCATATATAAGTCAAACTCCTCACGTCTGTGGGGATATACCGTACAGACCACATCCCGATAAATGCCAAAAGCTAATACAAATTCAGGAATGGTTAGTTTCCTATTTAATCGTGCATCCCTGGATTTGACCACCACAGAAATATCATCGTAAGCGTAGGTCTTATGTTCCACTATATCCTGGGAGGCAATTAGTAGTGAGGCCAGATTGACATCTTTACCTTCCAGGATATCTCTCCTGAGGTGCTCAGGAATCATGTGGGCAGGGTAAACTTCTTGGTCATCCGAGGTGATAGCTGGAGAAACTGATTGCAACTCCACCACTGATGGGGGAATTGCCGTGGCCGGTCCAGCCATAGTGAGGGCTGTAGTGACCGATTCAAGTTTCTCCAGCCTAGAATTGACCTTGCTCATGGATGTCATGAGGGACGTGAGCATGTCATGTATGTTCCCTGGGTGGGACTGGCTCGACCCTTCCCCAGCGTCCGTGTTATCGGTTGAGGTGTGTAATAATCTGTAAAGTTCCGCTTTCCTTGCTGTTGCTGGAAAAGGGATTTGTCGTCTCCTGAGTTCGCTAGTGATACAAGGGATAGTCCATGATCTGAAAGATGCTGGACTAGCCGTATCTTCCTCCTGTGATGGGGTGTTGGTTCTAGCCGGAGTCCTTGGGATGGAGAAATCCTCTACCCCTTCTTGAGACATACTAGATTACAAAAGTATATGGTTAGCATAAAACCCCCCGAAGGGGATGTACTGGCAGGCTAATTATGCCGGATAGGCGAAAAATTAAAACTTGTTCTTTGGTGACAGGTGAGGCCCTGCTAGTTGCCAAGTGGCTATGAGAGGCTCTATCTATGCGTTGGCGCGAGGGGTTATTGAGGCCACCCGACGTAGTGGCAGGAATTCGTAGGCCTCTCGGTGACAATACAAGAAAACAGGGGAAGGGAGTGACAGGTGGCACCCTCTCTATAATGCGAGGCGGCTAACTCACGTGTGGCCCGGGGGGCATTACCTCCGAAACGTTGAGGCGGGGTGTTGGCCTCGCGGACCACTAAACGATAGGCAGAATGCCCGGAGGGGGGATACCTATTTGGGCCTATAACCCCTAAAATTGCCAGTACTCTATGTCCTAAGTAGAGGAGGAACCATATGTGATGTATGGCGTGAGCAGGCTTAACGTACCTGGTAGTATGTATGCGTTTGATAAGCGATAGGTAGAGAAAACTGGAAAAAACCTAAAGGGATAGAAAACCAAATATGATAGTGTGAGAATTGGATCCTATGATACCAATTTAGACTAGTTATTTGTGATGAGTTCTAGTAGTACATATGGAAAGGGAATACATGAGTGATATTGGCCCGACTGGCCCTGTATGTGGTATGGTAATCATGCTTGGGGGTGTGTATGATATGTCTCTCTGGTGACCAGATTAATGCATATGATATAGTAATGCTAGTGTTTGTGGTATAATAAGGTGCAGGATTTAAAACAATACCGTATATGTTAGGCTGTAAACGTAAGCCATGAAAAGAGGTAAGTACGAGGTACAGAAATATTTGAGAAGTTATCCCAAAATTAGGAAACAAAACGTGACGTATGAGTGGTTGAATCAAGACGTGTGATTCAACCCGAGAGTTTGTGAGATTTGTGAGACCGTGTTCTTGTGTACTTGGTATGTCGTTTGAGTACACAAAGAAAAAGTCAGAATATATAAGTGCCATGTAAGAAACGTGAGTACATGGTATGATAGAAACGTAAATTTCTAAACATAATTTATAACGTAAATCCTACAAGCGATATCTGTAAAATGTAAAAGCTTGTCTAAGCTTAACTCCATAAATATATGTATATAACATGAAGAATTTCAATAAAACTTAATAATGCCATATCTGCTAAGATTAAACCATAACCTAAATAAATACTTATTCATAAGTGGTTAACAGGGGTATTGCCCCAGTCATATGCAAGGATTTCGTAATTTGCATAAAATAAATAACAGTAATAACATGAAACCAATTATAGCTGATGATATGCAGAACAAATTTGCTTAATACAAAGAAAAACCGAAACCGATATGCCTGCCGGCAGTAAAGGGGTTAATATGCCTGTGACTTGGCCGTAAAGCGTGTGGCCGTAAAGTAAGGCCGTTTTAAATCGCGACGCCGTGGGAAATGATCCGGGCGACGGACTTACGATTTTGAAGTCCTGTGGACTTAATCTGCGACGAAAACACCGGGTATGTGCGTGGCTGAACGGGCGGAAAACCTGTAAGGATTCCTGGACACAGCTACACCAAACGAAAACCGCGGGTTTTTGAAAAGCAAGATGGCGCCGTACGTGAACCGGAAGTGGATTCTCGATGCAGCGCTGACCTCGAACGGTATGGAGCCAGGTAAGGGGTGTCCCTTAAGTAGGGAGAAGGTGAGTCATACGCCCCTCCCACAATTACAGGCCAAAGGCCTTAATACATATAATTGTGTAAATATGTTTTGAATTAAAGCACAGAACTTAGAGAACAACTGTCATCACATTTTTTTACTTCCCAATTTTGAAACGTGTATGATATTTAATAAAACATATTGCTTTTATGAATGGTGTATGACAGCTTTTTAAAAAAAATCTCACTTTTTTTTCATCTGGCTGAGCAGCCATGTTGCTCTACTGTTATCGCACCAACTGCTGCTCAAGCTACCTTACCTTTAGCATTAGCAGCAGTTAGCATTAGCAGCAGTTGGTCTGATAACAGTAAAGTCTAAACTAACACGACTGCCGAGACAGATAAAAAAAAAGGGAAATTTCAGAATACTGTTATAGAATTTAAAATTAGCCAGTAAAATGATACTTAGTTATAAAGAGAAACTTTTTTTTTGTTTTTGTTTTTTTTAAGCAAAACTTTAATGGACAATAAAGGACAAAGTAGACTCTTGCATAGGAATGGTGCTTTACTTGAGAGTTATTTAAGTGGGAATTTGTGATGTGCATGAAAATACATGTCAAAAGAAGATAACTGACTGAGCTGATAGATGGGGCATTTGTGAATTAGAGATGTTGGTGTCGTTTTCAGAGTCTTTTTATGGTAGATACAGTATTTTAAATTTGATCCCATAGGTGCAGCTAGTAAAACAAATGGCAAAATGGTGAGGTGTGTGAGGAGCCAAAGACAATGAAAATAATCCTGACAGCATCATTCAATATGGACTGTGGCTGGGGGGGAACAGGTGAAATAGATGAGGACTGGTTTACATAATTTAAAAATGTTGAGCGACTGCCTTAGTACCCTCTTCAGTTAGAAACACCAATGGGTAATGCAGAGTGTGATGAATTGTTGTTCTGTTCACCTTTACAGAGTGTATGAAGGAATATGAAAAAGTAGATTTCAAAGCAGAAAAGATAAAAAGCTCTATGGAAAGATTGGGAATCAAGAAACGGACAGTCACCCAGACAGAAGAAATGCATTTACTGAGATGATCCAGGATGGATGGAGCAAAATCAAGATGGAGCAAAATCAAAGGAAAAGCTTATATGAATGCCAACATCATACAAATGGCATTATAATGAAAAGGAATAGTAAGGTTGCCAAGAGAACCAACATAGATAGAAAACAAATAGGGGTGGGTGGGGGGGGCAAAGAGGGGACAGCTGGTAAGTATAGAGG